GGGGGGGGGGGGGGGGGAGCAGTGAAGCAGAAGCAGAGGAGGGGAGAGGGAGGAGGAGACAGTGAGGCAGAGGCTTTGTAGAATAAATAGAACTTTATTCTTTCTCCAGTAAATCTCAGTGGGAACCCAACAGTAACAGGTGCACCAGTGGGCTCCAGGATGAGACCCCACCCAGGCAAGAGGGCAGAGCAGAGCCTGCTCCCCCAGCTTAGGGGTGTAGGGGGAGGGAGGGGACCCCCTGGAGTCCCGTCCTGCGGGGCAAGAAGGGGGCACAGGTGAAGGGTAGAGAGAGGTTGGGGGTAGACCAGGGAAACAGAGGAACTCAGGCCAAGTGTATGTAGCCATCTACTGTCATGTGTGTGTGTGTGTGTGTGTGTGTGTGTGTGTGTGTGTGTGTGTGTGTGTGTCTGTTTTGGAGGGCCCCTCAGGGGTGCTGGTGGCTATGAGGTTGGGGCAGGAGTAGCTTGGACCCCTTGGCCAGCCCCTTCACAGTGGGGCTAGGGCTTGGGTGAAGTGAGCCCCAGTGGGCAGACAGTGATGAGCAACACTCACCCCACTCGTCTAAGGGGCCCCAGCATCACCTCTACCCTGCTTCTTGGTGGACAGAGGCAGAGGATTCCCTCCTTCCAGGGATGGCTGCCCAAGACACCCACACCCAGTGGTTAGGCAGAGGGATGCTGCTTTCCCTGCACAGGGAGGGGAAGGCGGCCTTGGAAAGTTAGTATTCACAGTATTAGAGAAAACTGAGGAGAAAAGGCTGAGGGGATGGGGAGCGTCCATGGGAACGTGGCGGAGAGGGGAGCCTTTTTGAGCCCTGCCCCTCCCCAGGACCCACCCCTTCAGCTCTAGATCCAGCTCCCCCAATACACAGCACAAATTCCTTCAGTATAAATGTGCTTAAAATGAAAATTCTTATTAAAAAAATCAAAACAAAAAAATTAAAATAAAAACAAAACCAGCGAGAATATCTGGGGGTTGGTACACAAGATATGTACAGGGGGTCTTCCCCGCCCCGGCCACCCCTCTGTCACCAACCAAGGCAGGGGGAGGTTCCCCAACTGGGGAGCGATGGCTTGAGTTCAGAGGACAGGGAGCCAGGTCCTGGCATTTGCTGGTGATGAAGACGTGGCGAGGTGGGCAGGGGCTTGGGCCCAGATCCTCACGTGGCTCCAAGCTTGGCCCCTGACGCCAGCCCAGGCTGCTGGAGGAGGGCAGTCCATCATGGGTCCAGGCCTCTGTCCAGAGTCGCTGCCTTCTCCTTCCCATCCCCCTAGAAGGTCCCAGTTCTGTCTGGGAGGATGAGGTGGGGCAGGACTGGCAGGGGTCACATGGCCAGTAGAAGGCAGAGAAAGCCAGGGCAGGGGTGAAGGCTGTATCCACGTGATGGCAGTCATGGAGACTGGGTGGCTGGGCTGCTTCTGTGGGAGCTGGGGCTGAGGCTGGGGCTACAGCTGCCTGGCGGGGGAGCCAGTCCTCCCCCGTCTCGTGTCCCACCCCCCGGCTGTCCACTCAGAGTGTCTAAGCCCTCTGAGTTCTCCAGCATTTCCTGGATGAGTGGTGGCATGGAGCCCGGTATCTCCATCTTCAGCGTGATCACTCGCTCGGCCCCTAGGGGGAAGGGGGTGGAAGTCAATCCAGAAGGGAGGGTCACAGGATAAGGGGACCAGTGCCACTCATATGGGCATCTACCATGCGCTGCACTTAGAGAAGTCACTTGACAGAGTCTGGCTTTCTGGAGTTGACAATGTGGTGATGGGCAAAGCATTCTGGCTTCAGGTTCCTGCCTACCTGGGTTGTCCCCTGTGCTTCATGCCACAGATTACCCTACTGACACCTCCAAATACTATCACTATCCCCTCCTTCCCAGGAAACAGGTTCAGAGCTGGCAAATGGCCGGCTCACAGACCACACTCACATGGCCTGTTCCAGAGACATGCCCTGAAAGAGGACAGCAAGAGCACCACAGCCTCGGCACAGATGGGGCCAGGATGGGGCCAGGTAAGTAGGACACCACCTGAACACCAATACATGAAATGCCAGCTTGGTTGTGGGCAGTAGGTCTCAGGCCAGTCCCAGGCCCGCCTCCCTCTGGGTCTGAGAGAGTTACCCTTGGCGCTGATACTCCGAAGGTCTGTGATCTTCATCAGCATCTTAGGGAACATATGGGGGCGGCTGGGCCTCCGTTTCCTCACATAGACCTTGAGTGCCTCGAGCAGGGGCTCCTGCAGCATGTCCACCCTGTCCGGCTGCTCCAGGTCCTGCCGATCTGAGCACAGACCCTTCCCTGAGCCCCTGAGCAAACCACACCACCACCCAGGAACACAACTGTATTCCCAGATATGGCCACTTGGGGGCGGGTCTGCCCAAGCCACAGAGGCAGAAGGCTGCTCCCACACCTGGCCTCAGTGTCTCTGGGTTGGAAGATGAGATAGAGGATCTTCACTTTAAGTCATGGTAAGCACAGAGGAGATGGGTGGGTTGTGCTCAAAGTTCTCCACAGCAAGTCCTGTTGGGGATGGGACCCCAACACAGACAGCTATCCTCATGCAAAAAGGAATTTCCAGTAGGTCTGCATTCCCCACCATCAGTTACTTGGGAAAGCAGTGTAACATGTCAAAAACTAGAATAATCATCACCAACATTAACTGGGACTTACTCTGGGAATCCCACAACTTGCTTATTACCACCTAAATATTCCCCTTAACTTTATGAAGTAGAGACAATTTTCCACATTTGACAGAAACAGCCAAGAGAAGTTCAATAACCTGTTCAAAACCCCACAGCCAGCCAGGGCTTGAACCTGGATGGTGTGAGTTACCAGCCTTGCTCTTGACTCTAGCAAAGAGTGCTACCCAGGAGAGAACCAGAGTTTAGAACCTCACCAATCCTGCCCTGTTGTGTGTCCAGAGACCAGACCCTGCCCTTCCAAGCTTTAGTACACCCTTGAGAGGGCCCCGATAGACGAGGCCTAAGCTGTTCCCAGGAAGCAGCCCAGAGGCCTGCAACTCACCCACCTCCACAGATGAGGCAGATGGCGCTGAGCAACCCAGTCTCAGCATCATCCATCTCTAGGGGCAGCAGCTGGTTGGCAAAGGCAAAGACCAAGTCGGTGAGGGGGCCAAAGCCAGCATTGTGCATCTGGGTCCGGTTCAGGGTCAGCCCATCTGAGAAGGTCATTGTGTCTTGCTCAGGCGTGTACCGCGTGCAGATCCGCAGGATCTGGGTGCAGAAGATGCACAGGTTTAGGCACTGGAGTCTCCCCCAACCCCAGTCCCTGGCACACCAGCTCCAGCATCCCCAGAGGCCTCCCTGGCAGGCAGCCAGAGCACGGCTGTCTGACAGAATTTTCTCTAATGATGGAACGGTTCTGTCTGCACCATCCAGCACTGTAGCCACAGGCCCCATGTGGCTACTGAGCACTTGAGATGTGGCTAATGCAACTGAGGAACTGAACTGAGTCTAATTGTAATTAAATTTAAATAGTCACACGTGTCCACAGCTACTACACTGGGTAGTGCAGATCTAGGCCATGCGGCCTCTGTATACAGAATCAGGAATAAGTTTCCAGCAGGCAAGGACCAAGGCAGCAGACAAGAAATAAGGCAGATCTCTCGTCCCAAGACAGCCCCAGATGTACCAGACTAAACCATTTGATCCTAATTGTGCCTCCCACATCTATCAGTGTACATGGGGACTGACAGTTGTCCTCAGACAGACACAGGATATATTCCTTACCCCATCGGCCTCTCCAAGTCCTGCATTCCTCACCCTCGCTGTGTTTCCAAGGGGAGGGGGTGGACTGAGCCCTTGTCAGGGATGACAGGGGAGGTCCTCTTCCTAGCTTTGGTTTGAGCAGTTCCCACACCCCCCAGCATCCCACCTACAGCTCAGTCTGCCAGATGCTCCATCACCCCCACCCCAGCACTGTGTCCCAGTAGCAAACCTTTTACCTCCTGAACTGAAGAAAAACCACCTGGCTCATGTGCCACTCTACCACATACCGGCAACTCAGGGATATTGTCTTGTGTGTTCTTCAACAGGGAGGGGAGAACCCTTGCCCCACCTCCAGTCAGCACTAATCAGCTGTGCAACACCTGTTTAAACCCTCCCTCCCTGGCCTCCTCCATCGGGAGAGAGGGTGGTGGCGTGTCTACCTCTGGGCTCCTGACACCCAGCTCAGAGGAGCCCAGGTGGACCTTTCTATGGACTAAATGGACATATGGGCTATGGGTGGGTGGGTGGATGCATGAGTGACCAGGTGAGAAGCTGAGTAGACAGGTGGACATGGGAAAGGAAAAGCATGGCATAACCATGGCCCATTTTAATGGTGGGCATTTGGATTCTTGGAGGACGTTTGGGGAAAGTGGCTATTTGGGCAAGAGGAGATCCTCCAAGGACAGGAATATGGCTGAGGAGCAGGGGCAGAACCTCACCAGGATATCCAGGCAGGCAGCCTTGAGGAGGGTGATCTGGTCGGCAATGGTGAGGGTGGTGAAGCCGGGCAGCTGCTTGGCGAACTCCACAGTCTTAATGATGCACTTGGTGGAAAGTTCACTGAACTTGTCCCAGAGGTCAATGTCCAGAGAGACACGTTGTTCTGAGCTGTTGTTCTGGGGGAGGCAGGGAGAGTGAGGGCCTCCTCTACAGCACTGGTTCTCAGCTTGGCCCCCGCCTGCCCTCCCAGTCTTTGCTTCCTGACAGCTGCTAGGAAGTGGGGGCAAGAAGAGGTAATTGAAAGGGGCCCTAGGCATGTAGTACCCCCACTAGCTGACATACCGTAGTGTACTTGCCCAGCTGGCAGAGGGCAGGGAAGGTCTCCTGGTGTGCTTTTCGCACCTTCTCGATGAGCTCCCCGACCTCCGGCGTTAGCGTGTAGCTCTCTGAGCACTCTGGCTTAGGTGCCTCCTTCTTCTTCTTGTTTCGGTCATTTCGCACAGCTGTTGGGGGCATGGGTGGGCTATAGGGAGGCTGCTGCAACTCAGAGCCAGGCTCAGCCCATGCTGCCCACCAACCAGAGCCACTAGCATGGAGACACACACACACACACACACACACACACACACTCACACTCTAGCCTTTCATGTCCCCATGACCTACATCCTAAGTCCTATTCCAGGGGTCCCATGACTCTAGCTGTGGCCACATATATGCGCATACATGCTTGTACCGTCTCCTCCCATGCATCCATTCCAGCCCACACTCCAAGAGTATGTGCCCCAGGTTGGCATCCATGCAAACTGAGTCCCTTCTCTGTGCCAGCCACAAGTCCTTGGTGCCCTAGACCTCCCTCTGGGCACCACTCTCCCTGGGGGTTCCTGAGAGTGGCTCAAAGCAACTCCCTGGGTAGGCAGGGCTCCCCAACTGGAGAGTGGGGGACCCCGGCGGGAGAATCTCTTGGCCCATTAGCCGGGGAGCTGACAAATCACCGGGGGCGCTGAGCCGCACACACCACTCGGCTTTAAAGAAGCGATGGGGTCGTTACCAGCCGATTATCCCAGACACACAATCACTCACAGGGCCTCGGTGGCGGCTGCTGACGCGGG